GCTGTTCCGATGGCCTTGGAAATTTTCGTAACAGTGTTTAAAATTAAGAGGCTTTAGGTAATCTTTAATGTATTTAGCATGAAGCAGTAGGCCAAAAACACTTCTACTTTGTTGAGTTTGAGGTTCCTGTGTCCCAGTTTTAAGCCCAAAGCTTCAATCTGTCTCCGTAATTTTTAATTCTTAAAGGCGTAACTGCCTAATGGTTGCCCTTCTATGCAAATGACTCCAGTTGGTTCAATGTTCGACCGAAGATTTTGCAGTCAACAAAGTAGGTATTCTGGAACCACAGCTCACGGAACTTGCACGGCTGGCAGACACCACGAACAACAAATACAGCTCCAAGAGTACCCCATACAACCACCACAGGGGTAGAATTGAGCTCGCAGACCAGTTGAACAACAAATAAGGCCGGAAATGCAACACGTTGTCGGTTTTGGAGCAAGGACTTTTTTAAACACCAGATGTTTCAAGATGTCAGTGCTCCTTCGTACAACTGTGCTTCATAATTCCACACTACTTCAACGTTCACACTGGCTACTGCTTAATCGGTTTAAACCACCTGCATTTAATCTGGTTAAGGTCAACTAAACGGATGCATGCTGGTCTTATTATGAAGGAGACTGGTACAATCGAACAGTCTCTATTGACCAATCATAAGGCAGAAATGACGTCAACCCAAGTCCACCAAGCTGACTGAGTCTCGTTATATGCTACTTTTAACATGTGTCTATCTCTGATTGGCTGCGTGTCTTCCTCGCATGCCGTTCAAACGCGATGAGACAGAGGATTGGCTGAGGTCGGCGTGGTCCTATTCGTCTGTGCCCTTGTACTTTGCTACAGGCTGAACCAGCAAAGTCTCTCTCAACGAGGACATATTCTTCTCCTGTTCGTGCATGCTTTTTTCAATCTTTGGTCGAAACGCATCTTGGACGATCACTTACGGAGACACGCATACGAATTCGCCATTTTCATCGATCCTTTTCTAGTTCTTATTTAAACAAATGCTCTTAAGAGGACCTGCATACCGTACTTTTTACATTTTCCCTTAATTTTTGTTAAATTCCCTTTCCATGAGATGTTATTGGTTCTTTGTGCATTTCTAACACAAAAAGTTGCTTGTTGTGGAATGCAAAATCGGAGAAATATTTGCGTATTTCATAAAATTTTTAAGACGTGTTTTGTGCTGGAAGGGCCACACGCCGCAACCTATCTGCGCCACAGCGCGCACCATCGACCTTGGCGTTGCCAATGGCGATTCGTAGCACTTGTCTACGTGACTGCACGTCAAGCTTATGATAATTTACGTCAGGCTGTATTCGGACCAGCACGCCAGTTTGCACACCCAAGACGTGCACAAACCACTTCTAGAAATTCCGAACCCCACCTAGACCTGTGTCCGTAATTAAGACCAGAGCACTTCATTGGTTGCAGATTTCTCCATGAACAACGGGACTTCACACTTTGAAATAGGGAAAAGTTATCAAAAATTTAGTGAATATGCAGTGTGAAGGTTTTACGCACCAGTGCCTAGTTCATTTAATGAATATTGAAATTTTGGCTTGGTTCAGTGAATGCTAATTTGGCATTGATAAACTTCAGAGCTAATTATAAGACTCCTTTTACCCAGATGATCTCCATCTATGCACTTCTTCTACATGTTTGTGCTATTTCTGATAGATTTTGTCATTCCTATCAGCGTCCCATTGGTTAATTTGAAATCACCCAATGACTACAGTCGGCCGGAGCTTTCGCATATTCCCAATATTCTTCATGCCCATGAAAGAATTTGATTTTAATTTAGTAATCTTAACTTTGTTCTAACTCACTAATGGGGCAAAAGTTATTAATGTCAACGTCTTTTTATTCTCAAATCAAGGTAACCCAAGCAGCAATCTGATTGGCCGGTAAACCGAATTTAAAATACTCCCTTATCCTGTCATGGGGTCTTATTTCATCAAACCTATTTATTACTGCTACCTGGTAGTAGTGCACCGATTTATATCCATTTGTACGCAAATTTAAACCGAAATCTCCCTCAAAGGATATTAGAAAATCTTGTATCATCTAACGAGTTAAATTTAATTTAAACAAACAAGAATAACCAACCCATCACAGAATAATTGCCGGTCACGTAATCAACAATTCGGTCCAAGATGTCTGAAGGCAATGCCGTGGCAATTTGTTTAAATTAACACGTTTTGGCACACCCCAAGGCGTTGTGACCCCTCAAGGTCATTTGCACACTTGACTAGCACCAAAAAATCGATTGGGTCAGCAATAGGCGCATTGTGTATTTTCACAGGCAGCGAGATGTGTGAAGCCATGTCAGCGCAGGGGCATGGGTTTTGACAATCAGCAGCAATGCGTAAATGAATCGCTCTTTAGTTGCACCAAACTTTTCCACTAAGAACTCCGTAGAATGTAAATTCATCGATATGTTGCAGTTCGCTTTTTCCCCGAATTTCAAATCACATAAAGATGTACTTTTCAAGTCAGATATTGCCCAATGTTTTACGAATTAGACTAGTCAGGGCAACCGTTTTCTTGTTCAAAAATGTATGTTTTAAGATATATTACCAGAATTTAAAAAAACAGCTTAATTATTGGTGCCAAAAAGCACCCCCAATCCATGTAAACAAAAACCGTATCAACTATTCGGAGGTGCGTCAACAATTCATCGATCTCTTCACGTCTCTGAAACAGCTGCGAAAACTTTGGCAGCAAACAGTCTTTGGAGTTTAGAAGTGTGTTCCCTTCAGCCAATTAAAAACGCAAGAAATTGTTAAATACTATGACATCAACCACATCGACGCCCAAATGACTGGTTTTTGCAGAACTGCAAATGAAAGAAATGCCGAACTTGAGTACAGTTATGATCTCATGTCGGCCTGCGCCAAAAAGCATTTCGCCCATTGGTCGAAATTATTTCCATCGTCAGCGCAACAGCGAATGGCAACTTAGAGACAGGATCTTAGACGATAAACTTGAGAATTTAGGCTGGCAACTCCTGCCCCCACCTCCCAACACATTATCCAGATTTTGCTACCTCCTGGGATCATCTTTTCAAGCTAAGAGTTAAAAAATGTAAGGATTAACGGGAGGAATATTCTGAAATCACATCTCCCACATTTCTGAGATCTGATGGAAGGGCAATTTGGGAAATCAGGTACATCAAATGTCATGTTCAGAGTGATTTTGACGTTACCGGACAGGTGATGCAGGCTGAATCACAATTTCACTGGGAGTTATATCGCTGATCGAACGACCGGCTCCTTGATAGGAGACCGCTGTTAGGTAAAACACGACCGTCCATCAGACAAACTGACTTCCACGTTGGAGAGTCACATCTAAGTTTGAAAATTGTTCTCTAAGAATGCCAGGCATGAGTGAATGACGTGTGACCCGACAGCAAGAGTGCGACCTATCGTAGATTTCATACAAAAGATAAGTGACTCGTTCTATGATTTTTAGTGTCTCAGAACTTGAAGTCTCTCAAATAACAACTGTATAATTGTCTCTCAATGCCGAATAGAGACGATTCCACCAATATTTGCTTCCTTCACTGAATGGAGCAGACGTCGTGTTTATACAGAGCACCCACCTCGTCCGAACTTTACCGCAAACAATTTTGCATCAATAAACATGCCGATGGGTATATCGGCTGGTTGGTTACTTGTAAAATCTCTTAGTGTACTGTCCGATCACCTCTGACAGTGCTACAATCAGGATGGGATTCTCTCTGTTTGGGTGTAGACGAGCAGCCAATCACGCTTGACCGCGTGAGCGAAATCCGGCAGCGACGCACTCTCCGGCCAAACACGCAGTCACTCGGCCTGTGCTATCACGCCACGTGTGATGACTCACGTCCGGCCATAACTGCGTCACTGGGTGACTTCACAAACAACCCGACGACACAAAGCCGATTTCCACCGCTGACTTAATAAACTAGTCGTCCTGTTGGCGCCTTTGTTTAAATTCAGTCCACCGCATTTCGAACAATTTTTTACTCTAACCACCTAACAAATGATCGAAACCAGCAGTGATAGCAAGTCTAAATGTTACTTTGCTTGCTGTCGTCACCCATACCTACATCCAACGGCGGAATCATTCTGCACAGTGGACAAAGGGACCGCTCAGTTTCAAATAATCCATATTTAAAAACGTAAGGTTTGTCCTCGTGTGCATGGGAAAAGTGAATCAGGACTTCGGATCCCCTTTTTACATTTTTAAAAAACTGTTTAAGGTCATTTTATTGAATGAGTGTTGGCGTGCATGTCCCCATTGGTTACAAGTTCAAGAGTGAGTCTCCAAATAAATGTCATCTTTTCGACAAAATTTCGCTCAATAAAAGGGCCAAATTAGCTGCTAAGTGTAGAAAAACTCGAATTTAGTTTCCAAACACCAGAATCCTATTCTAAAAAGTAAACCCGATTTATGATTTCGCTACCAGTCAGTCAGTAAACAGCTGAGCAGGTTTTTGGCATTCAAAATTACCAAGACGTTACGCAAATTAAGGATAATATTTCGCGTACGACAGGACCTCAGCTATAAAATGGCTAAATCTGAAGTTTTTAACTCATTATTCACGTCCAGATTCAACTCGCCATGTAATCTCTTTATAAATTATACCAATTAACATGGTAAAATGCGTTTTTAAGTAATTATAAGGCATCGAATAGAACTTTGCAAGCAGTAGGAAACTTGGAAATCAAAACTAAAGGATTAGCAAAAGAACGACAGACCAGAAAAGCCCTGTATGGCCGCATAATTTAACGTTACAAGGCTTGCAAAGCCATCTCGAACAACCGAAATAGTAAAATAAAAATACAGAGACTATTAAACAACTCATTTGTAATATCTGTCAAAAGAAATCCTGATAAGGAGTAAAACTAATTTACGTCAGAACAGAGGGAAAGAAACAGAATTGTTTACGAATCATACACAAAACCTGCACAAGATTTGACGACTACGGATGAACACAAGCAAGAGGACAGTAATGTTTATCTTCTCGCATTAATGATGGTCACAAAGTCTGGTTTCAGTGACGCACCCCCGACCAGAAATCCATCCACGTCTGGTTTGGCACCAAGATCCTTTGCGTTTTCGGCAGTCACAGAGCCGCCGTAGAGGATTCGCACTTTGTTTGCTATGGACGGGTCAACCTTGTCTCGGATCCAATCACGAACAACTTTATGCACCTCTTGTGCCTGGTCTGGCGTGGCAGTCTTGCCGGTGCCAATGGCCCACACGGGTTCGTAGGCTATTACCACATGGTCCCAACCCTCCTTGGTTAGAACATTTTCTAAAGGTTAAGAAACGTCGATTATTGAATCAAGTCAGTGAGAGGAGAAATAGACAGTGTAAAACCTACTGGCAATAGCCTCCATTTGGGCGAAGCATACATCGTTGGTCTTTCCAGCCTCACGCTCCTCCAGGAGTTCACCTATGCACGGGATGACGTTAAGACCAGACTCGAGCGCAAACTTCACTTTTTCGCCAATCAGCTACAAATTAGGGATAAAAGCAAATTGGTCTGAGGCAGAGAGCTGAAACAAAAGTGGCGAAAATAAGGTACCTCATTAGACTCCTTAAAAATGTGGCGACGCTCGGAATGTCCAAGTATAACCCACTCACAACCACAGTCTTTGATCATCGCGGTGCTAAAATACACAAAAGAGCAAACGCAAACATTAGCATAAAAATAAGTAATCACAGTGGATTAAGCAAATCTTGTTCAAAAGTCTTTTAAACACGCCCAAATTTTTGATTTTACACAAATATTATACCTAAAACCTCCAGATTGAAAAGACAAATGAGATAACGCGCCTCACCTAATTTCTCCCGTGAAAGCACCTGACTCCTTCGTGTAGCAATTTTGAGCAGCGATTTTAACACCTTTTGGAGCATGTTCCTGAGCATATCTCAAATAGCAGGCAGGCATCCCGATGACAATGTCTTGTGGAATTTCATATTAAAAATAAATTTACCAGCGTTAGGGTCCAAATCAGCATTTCGCAAAGTATCAAAAAACCCATCGATTTGGCCGTAATTGCCATTCATTTTCCAATTCCCACCGACGAAAAGTTTGCGACTCATTTCTGATGACTCTAACTGCGGCTGATTTCCACAATTCCCACAGTCGCTTGGAGTTACGCTAACGTCAACCTTCACGGTAACCTTGGTGCACTCCATGGTCGATTTTCGTTAGTTGGTTCAAACAGAAAAAAATCGATACAACAACATTTGGTTTTCCCTAGGAAACGTCTGCTAATACTTAACTAAAAGACTTTTAGCATGCATATACTTAATAATAACAGAAAAATGTAAGCAATGAATTTCATATCTGGACCTCAAGGATTTTTAGTCGTTTGTTAATGTTTCCACGAAACTAATCAGACAAATTTTGGAAAAGTAAAAACGAAGTAACACTTACTAAAGTCTTTATACAAAAAAATTAAATTATTATCAAGGAAACAGCTAATATTTAACCAATGTTTTCCACTATGAAAATGTCGTTCATCGGAGGTTTCAGACTTCATAATGAATTTAGTGTTGAATACGGGCACAGTTATAGATTGGTGCCTCATAATAACTCACTAACAACGGCAGTTTCTCTACCTGCATTCTCCAAATACCCGTTGACTTGGGTCATGCTTAAGGGTCTGTGACCTAACAATAACCCACTTTTTCGAAATATCTATATTCTGAGGTTTAACAACATACCCGTTCTCACATTTTCCTATCTCTTTTTAAATAAGGCGACTGTGTCAACTGGTTTTTTTGTAAAAAAAAGTATCAAAAGTAGAAATTATTCTGTACATCCTAAGTTTCATGTATCGAAATACCAAAACCCTCTCTAGAGGTATATTAACTTTCAGTACAAATGTGGACAAATGGACTTCTTCAAAAATTACGCAATGCTGTTTTGGTAGCAGTCACCTCAGGTTACGCAGATTTAATTTGCATTAATATCGCATATAAAAAAATATTTTTGATTCAAAATGAACAATAGAATTTTAAAAAGTCCGCTGATTTCAAAACCCCTGTTTAGATTCTATAAAGCAATTTTACTGATACCTGCCTAATGTAAAAATAAGTTCTTTGCCAAGGAGCCTGTTTTGCAGTCCTCCTTTTTTAATATATTTGTAGAGCTAAAATCGAAATCAACACCAAGATTTTGATTTAATTTCATTTGTTTGCATGATAAGTTAAGTTGAATACTTACAAATTTTTAGAATGCAGTTATTTACGATTTAAAAGTGCATAGTTTTATTTTTGACAATATTCTGCAATTGTACATTGAATAGTTGTTATTGCAACAGACAACAAAAAAACAGTTTGCTGAATTTAAGGAACACTAATTTATACCTCCATGGAATGCTAATCAAAAGAGGCTCATATTTGATTGCTCAGATCAGCAAAACATGAGAAGGTTGAAAATTTAGCCTTGCGAGTAGCAGTGAAAACACTAATAAGTTATACCTTGTTGACGACAACCATTTGCAAAGATTGAATGCTACTAATCGAGGTTATTTTGTCTAAAGAGAACCAAATTAAAAAATTCGTGTCTATTAGTTGCACGTTAGCAAAGTCACTGCATGTTTAGACGACACGGTGCGATTTTTGGCATGCTTAGTCTGAAAGTTTTTGAGTAATTTTGACTAATTGACAAACTCATCATGACCAAAGTCACTCTACCTTACGTATCTCTTTTAAAAGTTGCACATTATAAAATTTCTGTGCCCCTAATAAAATAAGGAGTTATTTTTAAAGTGATTCTGCTTCGATTTGCCCAAAATCAAAACCGCAAACAATCAGATAACCGGTACTCCAGATCACGTGTAAGACGCTAACCCCATCCTGCTACGCTGAAGTAAGATAAGGCATGACTTCGCACAGAGGGCATTTAATGTTTCAGCCTAAGACCGTGTGATCTGTCAAGATATGTCAATGTGTTCAAGTCATAGATGAACTTGGCTTGATGGACCAAGGAGAATTAACACAGATGGATGTGTCAGTCGGGTTCTATGGATGAAGTCCCGTAGTCAGGGGAATCGCACAAACGAAAACGAAATTCTGACCCGCAGTGAGCCGTCTTGGGGAATGCTGGATCTCTAACAGTTTGAGGTAGCCATACACTTTTTATCAATGAAAGCTAGATATATTTTTGCAAACGATGCACCGGATAGTCTTTTGACGGTCCTAATTATGGCTCTCTGGTTATTGTATTTTTAGTTTTAATGGTAACCCCAATGTTTTAATTTGGTACGTTGGATTAGTTTTGATTTCAGTTGAGGACCACTTGTTAATTACTCTTTAAACGGACAAAGCTGACTTAATTCCATCCCCGTTGCAAATATTCATTACAAGAATTTGAGAATGAAAAAGACAAATCAAAAAACAGAGCAGGATTGATTGACCTTCCGCCCGTTAATACATGTTGCTGATTTTTTAACGTGTCCTCTATATTGGCTACACCAATTATCATTATTATGATATTACCCCATTTTAGGTTGCATTTATCGGTTCGTTCTCTTCATATTACCTGATATGAAAGTGTTGAAATCATTCAATCAAAAGTGCAATTAAAAAACAAATTCCTAGCAGTTTTTTTAGTTTTAAAATTAATGAAATTTTACAAAATCAAAGGTATGTACACGTATTTAAGGTTTTTATTACTGCGTACATATATTAATCAACTCGTTTGTTTTAAATAGTCAATTTCATGAAAAATTTTACCAACAGATGGCGGGGTGTGTGTTCGGTGTCATTTTTAGGTTGAGCCTTGGATGAGGCTCTGTCCGTTTTTTACATCTGCAAAGTGTTAACCTTTTATTGTACTTCACCATCTGGTTTCTGCAACACGAAAGGTAATTTGTCAGCTATTCGAAAAATTGGTTTAATTACTTTTTATGAGATTAAATTAACTTGGCTTATTTTGAATAATTTTTTTTCGATTTTCGTTAAATTTGATTAAGATTCTTGGTGCGCTAAACGAAGAGAAATGTTTAGTTTAAGTATAATTTCTAGAATGTACTGGTCTTTACATTTTAAACAGTATTACAATTCTAGACAAAAGTGCTGTAAATTTCTTTGACATGCACAACTCGTCTCGGGATTTCAATGCATGGATAGCCTCACATCTTAAGAATCATTTCTTTCTATGCTGTTAGTTTTTTAACCATAGTTTTCACATTTTGATATTTCATTGTCTTGTGGTGTTTGCTGAATGTCAGATCCTCTGATCACTTTTTTGAAAAAAGAATTTATGATGTTTTCGTCTTCTCGTTCATGTTAATTTTATGTTGACTGCCGTTTTTATCATGAATCACAGTAAAAATTTATTTATTGACCCTATGCTTTAAACTTGAACTATGTCTGACAATTTGCTATTTCACAAGATATCCTAAACTTTGTTTAATTTATTAACATGCGTGATTGACTTTAGTAATTCAAGTGTTTGATTTGTTGTATCATTGGACTTCTTTCTTTTTCACGTCACCACCCGATTCTTTCAAAATTACGATTTTCATTAGTCAGTTTTTTTACTCTACTTTAGCAATAGAATATGGTTGACAGGCGCCAGATGATTGATCTTTCCAGGGAACTGGAAGTTAAGTAAGTCGTAGTTTTTTTATTCATGCTTTTTTATCTTTTTTCTAAAAAAAGTAGCTTCGAAGCATTCTGAAATCCTTGGTACTTGGCTTACCCAACAACTCAATGACGTCACAATTCCTTGTTGTTTTGATTCTCCAGAATTAATTTGTATTCTTCGTTTTAAAAGTTTTATGCGGGTAATACAAAGTCCAAATGTAGCCTCGTCATTGTGCATCTACCGGAAGGCCAGGCATCAATTTTATTGTCTGCCATCTGCTCATCCAGTTTGGTCTCAATTAGGTTTTCCCCATCTCGCCTCCTTTGTTACTGTTGAATTGTTCACCTTGCCGGTGTCAAATCGACTCTCTTTCCTAAGGTCTACATTATACTTTGTTACTCGCCATTCCGTTCCGTTCATTGTTCATTAAGCTATAGTTGAGGATCTTATTTGCTGCATCTGCAGTACTCGGCTCTTTGCTATCTCAACCAAACGAACCTTAAGACTAGTAGTAAATCACGTGCTTCTCCCCATTGCTAATGCGTAGGCAGGCGTGGTGCATCCTAAAAATTAATGCATGCATTTTATGGTATCGCTTTTTGGTTTGTTTAAATTATGCCTCCTATCGTCACCATAGTACTGCACAAAAATGCGTCTCCACCAGTCCTGCGGTATTACTCAGCCCCACACGTGGGTTCTGCTACTTGAGCCTGATCAAGTGTCGCTTCAAAAAATAAATAAATAAACAGTTTTCTCATTGTCTGAGGGGAGTGGGTGGTTCCTCGCGCACGTAAACCGCAAACTTGTAAACACAGTTCATTCGGGTGTTGAAATATCAGCCCACCTACACTCCACGCCATCAACGGTGGAGCCTCTTCGTGCCTCGCGGGTGGCTGGGTCTCTCCACGTGCGCTGGTTATGCATTCACCTCCAGCAAGGGTGCAAACGCGCTGTGGAGTGTCGTGTCGTTTGTTTGTGGCCGAGTCCTGCACTTGGGTGTTCTCGCGTCATACAGCAACGCACCGCGTTAAGATTAATACGCCTATTGGCGCCCTCTCCGTGGTTTATTTACTTTACTGCCTTGTTGACATTTCGTACGGCACTTGGACAGGGCGACAGAGGCCCCTTTGCCGGTGTCGAGGTCAATTTCGCTTCAATTGCGGGTGTGCGGGTCGTGGACCCGCCCTCGTGTCAGCATCTCGATTTTGCCATCACGTGATCCGAATGGCGACATTGCTCGCACTTCCTGTTGTGGCGTGTTAGTCGAATCTCCTATCGTTTGCATCGTTAAAACAGGGAACAAAGTAGAGTGGGTGAGCGCTAAGTGGGTGTGTGCGCGTGTGTATGTTTGGTTTTATCACTTTAATTGAATTGCCTTTCCTCTGGTGCAACACACTGTCGTTCCAGGCAAGCGTCTACGGCTTCTCGTGTGGTGTTTTGTGAGCAACGCGTGTAGGTCACTCTAAGGTCAAACC